CAAAATGATTTCTTTCGTAAAAAAAATAATCATGAAAATTTTTCATATTATTTGGCCTCTAAAATTACAATGTTGCTTATACTTAATATTGATAAGATAAAATTGTAAAGAAATCTGATATTTTCAATAAAAGTTTTTCAATTGAATTTAGAAACAAGTTAAAGACACCAACTCTGCTCTACTACTCTTTTTCATTCTAATTAATTTGAAATTAATTTATAATTTATTTGTATAAAAAATGCGAACATTTACCTATCTCACATTACCTTTTGAAATTATCTTTTCAAATATTTAGTATGGTTTTTTGTTTCTCTTGCAGAAGCTGTTTCTCACATAATATATTTGTGTTGTTTAATTATTATTTCGCAGTTATTGTCACGAATCCTTTCAAGAGGAAGTATAGAATGATTCGCAAATTACAATATGCGATAAATTCTTTTGAACAATAATTTTGTAGATTAATCTACTTTGTAGACTTTATTTGGCTAAAAAAATGTGAAAAAAGATTATTTTTTTAAATTGCCGCTTCTCAACTCTCGATACATATTATATAGAGTAATGTAGATAAATTGATAATGAAATTTACTTGGAATTATTTGAAGAATATGATTTCCTCGACTTTAAATTTAGGAACTATTAGTATGTATTCCATCACATCACACACTTTCGGCGAGTGTCTACACGAGATACTTCAATTTTTACAGGTGAAGTACTGTTAAAATCGAAGATTGAAAAAGGCGTAAAAGAGACGGGAAAGATCGTTAATTAAAAGTCGGAGTGACAGACGTTTAATCGAATTTCAACGTCGCCAGAGTGTCGCATTACCACAGAAGTATAGTCTGAAAGGAACACGTCGATATTTGTTAGCGAGGCGAACATGAGAAGTGAGAAAGTGCCGAGCGGATGCCAATCTGTGGCGTAAGCGCGCGCGTGCTATTAATGAACTTGTAATTAAATCGCAGACTTGGCTAATGACACATCTAGTGGAGAACCATGCGAGAATCTCATTTATATGACATTTCATTCCAGTAAGTCCAGTATTATTATCGCTTTGATTGATAATTCAATGTTCTACTGATGAAATTTTTCCGAAAAAGATAAAAATATTTAATCTAATATGTAAATAAGTTAAGTAGGTATAATATTGTATATTGTATTTCTCTATACATATATTATATTATTTTCGTAATTTATTTTATTCATTACAGAATAATTTTGGTACCTTGGAAATTTAAAATTATGCAAAATATTTTGTAGTTCAAATTCTTTTCTCTGAGAAAGAGATGCATAAGAGGTTTTTCTCTCAAGCAAAAATAAGTATTATCCAATAATACAAGATGAAGTTATTTTTCCAAGAGAAGAACGATTTTAGAACAATAGAAAATAATTCTTTCTTTTCGCTTTATTAAACTTCAATAATTTCTTGCTGTAAATCAATGTGATAGAGTATAGAATATTAAGAAGATATCAAGTCGCATGTTTACATTAATAATTATTAACTTGTAAAAGAATAATAGAATAATATATAATGTAATCATACTAACACACACACACACACACACACACACACACACACACACACATATACGCATGCACGCATAGATGTATACTATTATACAAAATATTCTTTCTAAAGTATGCGACATTAGACTATATGCAAAACAATTTAGATGTGTGTGTGTGTGTGTTATTTTTATTTGCTTTTTGCACAAGAATAATTTTTTTGCGTGACTTATATATGTATAACAAGATTGATTGCAGGATACTCGATGTTTTTCTAAGTGATTGCTTCGATAAATACAAGCGAAAGCATCTGCTCCAATTGTATATTCATGCGCGTTTTTATTGATTATCGAATTTGTCAACACCTGGTAAGCATCTCCCACAGGTTATCTCAATGACGATGCGTATGGAAACATTAGAATAGATGATGGCGAATAAATGAAGAGTAGGTTGGCACGTGCTCCTGGGAAATTAAGAAGGGTACAAGCCAAGAGAAGGCGAGCCATTTAAAAATAATAATCTCCTCGATTGCTTTTATCGGTACGCATTTTATTGTTGATGAAAAATATTCGCAATTTATATGTTTGCAATTATATTATTAACGAACAGATGAAAAGAGGATTACAATTCGTAATCTTTATCTGCAATCACAAATTTTGCTATTTTTAATCAATATTTAGTAAACATATAAAATTTTTAATGCGATAAGCGTTATTCGCAAATATATTTATGGATATAATTATTATTTACTTATTCATATATGTGTTAAATATCATTGTTGAGTAAATACAATTTAAATAAATATTTGCCCATGCTTCTACACCTTGTATATATTAAGAATAATATTTAAGAATGTATCATCTTCCTTTTTTCTGAAAGATAAACATTTATTGTATACATGCAGTTCGAATGCACAAATAAATATTTTCATTACATTTGCCTAATATATAACAAGCACATATTCAATTATTTCAAAACAATTACAGTTATTATTCATAACAGAGTTTCTCGGTTGTTGTCATATCCTTAGGGAACTAACCATGCGCGTAATTGCAATCATTACCGGTACAACGACTAATTATTACGTTGGATTTACTTATTCTAGTGCGATTTATCAAGTGTGTATTTACAGTCAATGTATATTATAAAATTTCTACTTTCTTTTAAAAATTTTTAATAAATAATACACATGAACACTGTTAATATAACTAATTGATTAAAATAAACAAAAAATTGTGCAGGAGGTAATAGGTGAGTGTGTTTACATATATATGTATACATATATATATACACATATATTTAATCGCTAATATCTATATATTAGATCTATATATTAATAGAAAATAAAATGTTATTAATTTTCTATTTCATTAAACCAGGTTGTCATTAAAGTTTACTCTCTTGGCGCTCTTGTGACGCAAGGCATAATACAATACGAGTGCAATAAGCGAGACTGTGTAGGACCGTAAAATTCGGCAATAATGCACGTGTTCACAAATCGAAATAATATTTTAACGATTATTTTTGTCACAATGCAAATTCCAATAAATAAAGTACGTCGAGAAAATTTGGATTGAAATTTATCTCTTCCAGAAAAACTCGTAGCATTCAAAACTATCGATTTGTCGCAAAATATGGCAAAAGTGTTTAAAAATTTTTTGAAGACTGAATTATTTTTTTTCTCAGCTTTTCTCCTCTTATACATATGTATCTCTACATCTTATATACGTTTATTTAAAACATTATTTTTTGAAAGATATATTTATTAATAGAACAATTTTTTTATAATCACAGTGAACACGTAATACACACATACACATGTGTATGAAATTAATATTGTTATACTAATTAAAACTGTGACAAAATTCTCTCGTTGCGAATTAATACTTTAGAAGAACTTTTCCAGTAAAGTGCATATCGTTAATTTCCAAGAATAATTACGAAACTTCTATGACGCACTCTATGATTCTCGCGCCACCCATTATTGTTTGAGCCTTACGTGATAAATAGAGGTGCGCTAACAAGTTTTATTGCAAACTTGCCGCAACAAAACGTCATTACTCCGAGTAGTCGATCATTATTTTGGAGCAAGAAGTTGTTCATCGCCGATCTGCTTTGATAATGACGAATGGATTATACTATAGTTAACGCGATATCACTTTGACAAGTTGCACTTTAAATCGAAATTTCATCAAACGTAATCCTTGCATCATTTAAACTTTGCTCCGACTTTGCTTAATCAACGAGCAAATTTATTTTTAGGGAACAAAAATTTTGTAAATTAATAAACAAACTAATTTTATTGATAAATAATTTTTGAAATTGAATTATTTTTAATCAATTTTGTTTATTACCGTCAATCTAAGTACTATTAAGAAGGGAATAACGAATGAACTATTCAGTTATAAAAATCAGTTACGGGAATAAAATTTAAAACCCCCATCATCCATTTTTCATCAATCAGTGCTCGGTGTGAAAGCATGGGGTTCGCATGAGGATTCGGGCTAACTCTAAACTGTCGTTGCTAGATCTATCTAAATTAATTCTGCAATTGTATTCTGCAGCGTAATATTAAAGAGACGATGTATATACATATATAGTTATTTTACAAAGCTTTCATTATAGTTAATTTATTAATTTGACAACTTGTCGATGAATATTCGGCAAACGTCATCATTGCGTATAGTGATTTATATCGCCGATAGATTAACCTATAGAAGAAAGCTATTAAAAAGTGATGTGTTAATGATGCTGCGTTGATGCATGGTTGCTACTGTCGCTACTGCAACATTGCCAGTCGTTTCAGGGACCTTTTCTTCTGTGTATCGATTTATCCAACGTTTTTCCATGTGGTTGTGAATAACGCAACGCAGGTGATATCCACGGCACATTTAATGCTACTGCAAGACATCATAAAAAATTGCCAGGGATATGTTAGAAATCATCCCTCGGATCACTCAAGCGCGTATAACGTATCCGAATATTTGTATTTATATCAGACTCAATGCGTTGAGCCGAGTCCATTGAAAAACATGCCGCGCAAATGGTTCGCAGAGAACAGAAAATATTAGTTTCCGATATACAATGTTTGTGTGAGATTGCTCAATTTCATTCTCAAACATTGACATTTTTATATTTTACATTTTACCAATTAGACATATTAATTGTTCACATCTAATGTTACGCAAATCTGACGTTGATTTTTATTACTTTATGACGATTAATTTTGTAAATGTACATGCATATACGTATCTTTTATATATATATATATATATATATATATATATATATAAGTACACGTATACATATTGATAATTGTCGCATACATATCTACACGCATAATTATAATATATACATATACAATAGATATTTTTCTCTTGTGTAATAGACTTGTTTCATTCATATAATTATAACTTAAAGATTAATAGTTTCCTTCGCTCGAAGCAACGGAAACAGTTACGGCATGTTAACTACGATCTATTGTATGTGATTTTCAGAAAATGCCAGTCGCTGGTGTTGGCCGAATGGGACCTGGGACAATTACTCCAATTATTCTATGTGTCGCGACGTGCGGTTACCAACCATCGAGCCCGGTATAGAAATCACGACTACACTATATTTCATCGGCTACAGTCTTTCTTTATTTACTCTAATAATGGCGGTCTGCATATTCATCTACTACAAGTGAGTTAAGAATACGCAATCTGAAATTCTTTTTATTTATGCTACATTACTTTTTTCGAAGAGAATCAAAGTGCGTCCCCAGTCAGAATTTCGGAAAAGCAATACGACCAATCAGATTATATAAACGCGCTAAACTAAATTATTTAAAAAGTCACTTCTAGAAAGGCATTCTCTCACAGTAAAATAAATAGCATTCTTGCATTTTCGCCTTTCGACAATTTTGACATTATTTTAAGGAAATTTATCTTTAATTGTTGATCTTTTACAATATATTTTTTATATTCAAAAATTTACTTTAAATAATAATGTAACGATATCAAGTTTATATTCTACATATAAGTTACGAGAGAGAGAGAGAGAGAGAGAGAGAGAGAGAGAGAGAGAGAGAGAGAGTGAGAGAGAGAGGGAGGGAGGGAGGGAGGGATGGAGAGGGAGAATTATAGATGTACAAATAAAAGAATTTTCCTAATATTAGACACCATCAGATATTCTTACATTATTATTCTCTACATTTCTAATGTGGATTTTCAATTTGCCGCACTCTCATCGTTTACAATATCTAAATCAGCATGGTACGTGCAAGGCCTCGGAATAAATAAACGGTCGAAACAGTATAAACGAAGTAGCGCGGATACTTGAAATGCGTTCGAAGAAACGTTATTAGCATTATACATATTTATATTATTCTCTTTTCGTCATTTATTAATCGTAAAACAAGGATAGAATGACAATACAAATAACGCTAATAGCATCTCCCCGAACGCACCTTTGAAATTCTATGTGTTAAATTCTGTTTATTGTTAGTCGTTTCTATTTGTTTCTATTTGTGATCGCTCCAAGCATCACATACTAATCTAAGGGTGCTTTCCATTTGGTAACACAAGTCGGCACAAGCATCATTCTATCTTTCTTCAGTGAGCGTGAATAACAAAGATAAAACAATACTTGTGTTACCAAATGGAAAAAGCACCCTAAATTAAATCTACAGTACGAACATATTCCAGAGTTCCTCAAACTTATGCCTTATATCTTTCCTATAGAGAATTACGGTGTCTCAGGAACAATATACATACGAATCTAATGTTTACTTATATCCTGGCTGATTTGACGTGGATTTTAACTACTATAATGCAGGTAATGCATGTATATAGAAATCTCGCTTATATTTAAATGATATTCTTAATTTTACGCCTTTAATACTCACACACATACACATGAGCGGGCGCATATTGTGTGTGTGTGTGTGTGTGTGTGTTTTATGATACGTTACGTTTATGAACTTTTTATACAAAATTGAATAATAATCAATAACTTTTTTAAATCCGAAGAATTTAATTAACATTGTGAATACACATTTACGTTACTAACGGCATTTCATTGTTAAAAACGTTAAAATTATTTTAAATCACAAATCTTTGTTTTTATTTGTAACAAAATATTAGTTAAATAAATGCTTTTTACGATTTCGAATTACAAATAATCGAATGTTTAATAATGTGTCGAATTTAATTTAAAAATTCCTTTTCCCCTTTTATTCTTTATTATTAACAATTTTAATATATTAGACACCGTACTGCGTGAAGTTATTTTAAATTTAATGAAGCGTTGCTTCCAGTTCGTCATATTGTATTATATAATATTAATTCCATGCTTTGACTGCTCAAATTAGTTCACTATAAAGAGCAAGAGAAAAAAATGATAAGAAAGAAAAGAAATGTAAAGAGAAATATGTAAATTTATTAATTCTTAATTATTAATAAGTAAAAATTGTTTATTTTTATATTGTTATATAACACACGAATTGTTATCTTCATCAGTGATAAGATAATAGATATAAAATTGATTCGAAAACTTTTTAATAGTTCTGCCGCGTATGATACTAATATTCACTATGTTATCAAGAACTAATTTTTCACATTTTGTGCATCTATATATAATAGAAATCAGTGTAGTTAAGGAAAGAGAAAGAAATGAAGAGAGATAGAGAGAGAGAGAGAGAGAGAAAGGACGAATGGAAAGGTAGCAATAACACATTACTCTTTATTAATTGAACATAGAAATAAAATGAGCAGAATGCTTGGTTTTCTCATCTATATCGGATCAATTGATGGTTGAGTGTATCCCTGAATATCGTAGAAATTCCCATCGACTGCACTCTTTCAAATTGCATGCAATTAAAAGTTGCATTTTATAATGCATTTTAATTTTAATGTTATAAATCTTTTTCATAAGTTCTGGAAAATTATTCAATTGTTAGACAAAAATTAGCAAAAAATGCACATAATCTCGGAATTAGTATCTGTCTGATATATAATGAATGTTCCTCTTATTAATACGATTTTATATAATTTCCAGGTATCCATGCAAACAGATATACCGACTTGCGTGATATTATTCTCGCTTCTTCATTACTTCCATTTGACAAATTTTTTCTGGATGTTCATCGAAGGTAAGTTAAAAATGTGACATGTTATATCTATCTCTTACAAAGTATACAATATTGAACTAGTATGAAAGAGAAAATCGAGAGCATAAGAGCGTCTTTTTTTTTCGTTTGTATTACTCAAAAATTTAAAATTTAATAATTTAGAAAAATATCCGCGCACGAGTGCTAAAGAATATTTTAAAGAATATTTTTGTACTCCAAATATTATTACGCGTTTATCTTTACTGTTTCATGTTTATAGGTCTATATCTGTACTTGTTGGTCGTGAAAACATTCACTGGTGACAATATCAAACTAAGATTCTGCTTAGTGATTGGCTGGGGTGAGTGAACTAATAACTCTAAAATCGCGGGAAAGAAAAGAGTTTTTTGGGTCGTCCACATAACAGTATTATGTTTTAAAAACTTTGTATTAATTATGTTTTAACATAATGATAATTAAATAAATAAATAATTAAACTAATAGATAAATAAATCCAGGTATCCCGGTGCTTGTGATAGCCCTGTGGGGAATCGCCAAGTCGCTGGATCAGAAAATCATGAACCACATCATGAATCAACCTAACCAGGTATGAATTTAAATGAGAATGTTTCTCTGACGTTATCTGAATACGTATTTGACAGCAAATTTCCGTCTATCTGCGCGAAAAATCTTTCATTTCCTAATAGTGACGTGTAATAGGCTGATCAGACAGCATCGAAAACATATAAAATATCGAGCAAAATTTTAGTCACGTTTGCTTGTTAACGCCGTATCCAAATATTTGACAAAGATAAAACATGCAAGGAAAAGACAGAAATAACATGCAGAAAAATATTAGACTTGTTCAACAAGTTTAATTTCTCATCATTCGTCCGTGAAAAAACTTTCCATTGAACCATCCTGATGAAAATAAAAATCAGAGCGTAAATCGGATGTAATGGAAGAGTAACAGAAGCGTCTAAAACGAACCTTCTAGAAGGCGAAAATTGGAATAATGAAATGTAAAAAAAGCATTTCATTGTTCCAATTTCCATGTATATAACAAGGATCGAAAGATTAATCGATAACTTTGACTTACTGAAAACTTTGTTAAATTTGTCATCACTCTCTTGGAATCAAACATGTGTATATTATGAATAAAAGGCTTCTTGGATCTACTGCAGAATTCTGTAGTACAGCAATAACTTATCTCTTGTTTATAATTTTAAGCACACAAATTTTTACTTAAATAGATTTACAATTTAAAATTTAGTTATAAAAATACTAAATAATAACATGCAGAATTGAGAGTTTGCAAATATATAACGTATTTTAAGACATGTTATACACATATAGAGAGAGAGAAAGAGAGAGAGAGAGAGAGAGAGAGAGAGAGAGAAAAATATTGGAAAACGTTTGTATAAATATTAAGACATCTATGTATGAAAAAATCGAATTTTCCTATCTCCTCTATCTTTATAATAAATACACGCACTTGTGTAGATCTCACAACATCATGCATTATAATTTATAAATTATTTAATTAAATATGAACTCGATGCTGGTAGGAAGTGGTACTTTGGAGACATTGTCCCTGGATGATACCGCATCCGTATGACTGGTTTTATCAAGCGTCCGCTGTAATAGTTCTAGCAGTGAACATGATATTCCTTTTCATGATTATGCAGGTGAGTACATCGCTTGAATTAATCTTGGAATTATCTGCCTACTTATATTTTTCGTTATAATCATTCAGAGACCGAAAATTTATTTATTTTAATCATTCTTTTACTTTATATGTACACACATATGCGCGCGCGCGTATATGTCTGTGTGTGTGTGTTTACACTTTTATTTAAATGTACACAGATTTAAATTGTTATTTAGCAGTAGTCTTATTGACACGTTTGCTTCGTTAGTAAAAAATAATGTCTTACAATATCAAGTGATAAAAAAAGATTAACACTATTTTTAATCATATTATTAACATCTTCTAAGAGGTCTATAAGCCTCAATATTATAAAATTTCTTGTCAATTTAATTTGTAATATTACTGCTCTAATTCTGTTAGAATTGTATTTCAAGACTGAAAATTAGATTCGGCAGTTTGCAGAATTGGATATGTAGTATATAAATTCACGGATTTATAAACAATAAAGATCCAGCTTGACCTTTATTTTCGATTTTTATTGTGTTAACACTATTTTAATAAATACTATTGTGGTAAAAAATATCTACTTACATCAATTCAATTGATCTTCAAATATCTATACTCAATTACCTAGATGAGTAGGCGGATGTCAATTCTATTTCATCTAAGATGGAAGCTCTTTATATTCGAAATGAAAATTATAAACAACTGGGACTACAGACATTTTGATATCCGAGGCAGAAATAATCCGCTCCTTAGTTATAAAAAAATATAAGTCATAGTAAAATTAGTGTGTATAATGTGTACAATATATTAATACATGTATATATATTTTATATTTACATTGACAATATATAGAAGCATTTTACCTGTTTTTTTATATTTCCGAATTATATTATTATAATTATAATATTCATCAGTGTTTGTCAGATTCATATCATGAGAAAAGATGTTTCGTTGACTTGCTCTATAATAAAGTGACAACTTCTAAGGCATACTTGAGAAAATTATTTACTTGGAGAGAGTATACCCATCGCATTTGATTTTTTTCCAATATCGCAATAAACATCAAGTAACAAGGTGCAACGTTATTTGTCCTCGTTTTAAGATCAAAATGACATCTTTGATGATATTTTCACATAAATAATAACATAAATAACATTAACTTGCTGCACGCCTAGATTATTTTATCAAAATTCATATCTTTATTTCGTTTTTATTTAATTAATACACAGCAAACACGGTCGATGGCCGCTGTGATTATAATTATCGTTAGTACAGCGAATTAATTAAAATATATGTATACATAGAAATTGATATTACTATTTTTATGTCGATTCAAATTTTTTACCTGAGGCAATTAAATAACTCGTTGGCCACACTCTCTCCAGTCCCAACTCTGACTATAACAAATATTTGTTGACGAATAAAATAGCGTATACGCGAATAATATTTTAATTTAACCCAATCTGTGATTTGATTTTAAAGAGAAATGTCGATAAAATTGCCATCCAATTAATGGATCCTGGGTATCCTGTATAATACTTCTCCTGTACATTGAACTTTTAGTCGTATCTTATACACGGACGTAAAACGTCTTATATATCAAGATAAAACAATTTCTGGATAATCTTATTAATTAGTCGGGTAAATGATAAAAAAATCCTTGAAATAAATTTACGAAGAGAGACATTTATTCGAATAACATTCCAGTATTATATTGTCGTTCTCCTAAATTGAGATACATATAACGTCGCATGCCCTGCAGGTGCTGATAACGAAGCTTTGGTCTTCTAATAACGTGGAGACGCAGCAATATCGAAAAGCCAGTAAAGCTCTCTTGGTATTGATACCACTTCTAGGAGTGACATATGTGTTAGTCATAGCTGGACCTACTGAAGGCCAAGTCGCCAATGCATTCTCTTATGCGCGTGCGATTCTGCTTTCTTCGCAGGTAAAAAGTTATTTAAAGAATATGAAGAAAAAACGTAAGCGATCAAATTTAAGCGATAAACAAATTTATCAATTACATTCAAATATTTTCAAAAACTTTGGTACAATTTTATCATATCTGCAACTTTCCTACGACACAGTAATGTATAAGCTCATTATTCTAAAGTAAATCAATCATTTCATTATTATACCAGGATAATGTTTGAGAAATAAATTCACTTATTTTCCAAAAACTATGTTGCGATAGGACGAGAAAATAAACGAAACAGGGAGGTAGAGTAATAGAATTTATACAAGTTTATGCCACTTTAGTTTATACAACTTTAGCAACAGACATAATTCGACATTCGTTGATCGCTCTAGAAATGAGATAGAATCTCAATTCTAGAGGGAACTGATTCAATCCAAAATTCTTTTATCGCGGCGAAAAGTGACCTCTCGCAATCGAAAATAAAAATAAATATAATAAATATAGTAAATCTAATAAATAAATATAATAAATGTAATTTCTACTTTTTTCAGGGATTTTTCGTGGCGTTGTTTTACTGCTTTCTCAATACTGAAGTACAGAATACAGTTATGTATATATATATATATTATAATAAGTTATAAAATATAATAGGATTGATCAGAACCGGGACTAGACATATATTTCGGCACCCGCAAGGCAAAAGAAAAAAGTGTGCCCTCTGTGTATGTTACAAACGAACGAAATACATTTACTAAACACAGTAAAATAAAAGTATATATTTATATAAATGATTTGTATAAATGATTGCCATACAAAACCATTGCACAAACAAATTTGTTTATATTAACTCAAAAAGAGTATAGGTGTTTCTTATTATATACATATATTTTGAATCATTGAATTTAAATCCATAAAAATCGTTTGTATTCCACGTTCAATTTTTTAGATAATTTTTTTAGATAATTTTTAGAGAACGCAATGATGAAAACAAAGGAAGATCTGTTAAAAAAAAAAACGTTTGAGGTAGTAAAAATAAATATGACATTAAAATGCATGACTGCAAATTAATCGTTAAATTTATTTTAGTAAATTAAATAAAGTATAAGAAGGAGAAAAAATTTTGCTTTATCACGTGCAATCAGCCATCGAACCTAGATTAGTAATGGGAGAAACAGTTGTAGACGTGGAAAGTTATATCCAATGTCGAGCACTGCTATATTGTAAGCGTTAGTAATAGATAGAGGGTCACCAAGTTCAGAACGCATTTTTATCGATAAAAGCGCGTTTTTCTAAAATTCTACAATATGTGTATAATGTAAACTACATAGCATAATTAAGCGTTCTAAATACGGGCCAGAGTCTTATAAAATTCTAAAGTATTAAAAAATATTTTCTCAAAACTTGAAAAAATGTCTGCACATAAAAATAGCAAAAAAACTAATTTACACTGAGAAAAATTCGGTTATTATAATATTTTACTTGTGTTATCAGAAACAATTAGTAAAATGTTATAGTAACTGAACATTTTGCTTCAAATTATTTTATTCCATCAAAACAAAAGATGTATTTATCCATATCTAAACAAGAAATAAATTTATTCAACCAAATGAATTCTCAGTACTAACTTATGTAACTTATCTTCTAAAAGTAACAATTAAAATCCATTTCTGAAAAGATTATCTATGATTAATATATATGAATATGTATTAATATGTATAAACATACATAAATATTCATAAACATGTATCATCATATATGAAACATGTCCATACATGTTCATACATCCCTCTCTTTCTTTTGTAAAGAGGGATGAACGTGTATGAACATATTTCGATCATGATTATACATGTTTACGAATATTTATGTATGTTTATATATATTTATACATATTATGAACAATTTTTTTACACAGCAAACGCTCAATGGCAGATATACGTACTCATTATTAGCAAATGAATTAAAATATGTAGAAATTTTTTACATAAGACCTTCAAATTTTTAAATATTTTTATAGACAAGTGCCTTGTTTGACCCTAGTCCCGACTCTGAACTATTAATCTTTCTTAATGCGAAGTTGTAATCAACATCAAAGTCGCAGTCCAATTTCAAAAAGTTTTCTAGTTTTACGAAATGAGTTTTGCGAATTTTTATCGCTTCACTGATTGATCACTCACTTTACTGCGCTTTTAGGATTTTTGTTTTTTTTTTGGCAATTTTATAATTTTGTTATTTTAAAATTAAAAATTCTCACTTTTTTAATTCTTTTTTTTTCGTCATCCACCATAGATTGTGCCAGCCATCGAATCCGTATCGAAAGCGGGAGTCTACAGTAAGTGAGACTACCACTACGACAGTGATAGGCCTGAATTCCACCACGACATTCCACCTCGATAAATCCAAAGGGGTTATTTCGGAAGCTCTCAACGAGTGATATAAGATTCACTACAAAGATTTTAATGTAGTGGAACAAATCCCGGCGCATTGTTGCAATTAGCAATCTTACAGATTACATCACTCGATTGATTATGTTCTTTACGCGAATGGCGGACTATTATATAATATATGAAAATTGTTGCAATTCGCAACGCTTTCCCCGAGATTTTATTATTCTACAATTAATTTTTGTGAAAGAAATATCTTCGATACTCGACACACCTACTCGATATTTTCACATCTCATCAAGACTGGACAACTCTCACATATATCACTACAGTATCTTGCTGCGGTCTTGTTGGATTATAATGTCAAATGAGAAATTATATATAGATTTTTCATCTTTTATGCTCATATGTGCGTATAACGTCGTAACTTATCGTTATCGACAATATTGATTTACGTAAAGTATGCAAAAAAAATTCACTTTGTATAATAATAGACTACGAAATAATCAATAATTATCAATTGATAATTATTGATTATTTCGTAGTTTATTATTATACAAAGTCTAATTAATTATTATAAGATCTATCTTTTTTGAAAATATATAATATAAAACCTAGATATTATAACATGTATCTCTCTCTCTAGATTGTATTGCACATTATTTATTTATTAATGCAGAAAAAAGCTGAGAGAAAATATTTACGGTATTTACAATATAAAAATAAATTCATTTTTATGTATAGTGCAAACAAACAAAAGATTTCATTCTTCCGCCTTTGACTCAATAATTCAATATAACTGCAGAAAAAAACTGTGTAACATACTCAGAATCTCAATTAATAGATATACATATGTGTATATAATTCTTAAGTGTTAATTAGAATTATAAGAGGAATCACGATAGATAAATTTCTATTGACCTGCATTGAACTTTGTACTGCAGATAATAGATATCGCTTGACATCACTATACAATAATAATTTTCGTTATCGTTGTTACATAATAAATAAAAACCGGATGAATGTCATAATGCAATATACATATAGCTTTTGACGTTGAAGCGAGAAGTAGCGCGGCAATTGAAAGTAAAATAATCACAACTCGATCTCTACGATATCGCTATTTCTTATTTACAATTAGCGTTCAATAGCATGTTGCGTTATAATGATATATCTAAGCTATACGTGTGAATTTCACGATAAATATTTTTCGTTAAAAGATTTTGTAGATGCTAGACATTGCACTCATGTCGACGGAAAATAAATTTCTCTTTCCTCTCTCTTTTTCCTCTCTTCCTCTCTCTCTCTCTCTCTCTCTCTCTCTCTCTCTTTCTCCTCCTCCCTCTTTTTCTCTCCCTCTCCTACCTCATCTTCTCTTTTCCTCTTTTGTATTGATATAGAAATTTTAATTTCTCTTTAGCAAGAATTAAAAACTAAACTAGGAGAGACATTGCATACTCGTATTTTACAATAAATTAAGACATTGATTGCCCAAATTTAAGCTAGAACACTAACTTAATCCAATAAATTGATAATCGTATCAATAATGATATTATCATTAAATTGCATAAACTACGTAAAAATCTGTAAGTATAATGGAAACAAAAATGTATGATTACATTAAAAAAAATTCTCATAGCTCATTTTTTTTAGAATTTTTTATATTTTAAATTTATCAATATTTCTGAAAAATACCTCTTTAAACTTCTTCAGATTTTATAAAGTTTCTTATCACAAAATGAAAAACTTTTTAATGTTTCAGAATTCACATATGTATAATGTATGTATAATATATAAAAAGAAATCTAAAAAAGATGTAGACTTTTTCAGCATTTCTGAAAAATATTCTCTAATTAATTTGTATCTAAAAATTTGAAAAATTTTCAAAAAAATTAAATAGAAATTTAAAAAATTTTCTAAATTTAAAAATTAAATAGAAATTCTAAAAAATTCTGCAATTTATATAGAAATCCTGAAAAATTATTTAAAGAATTCTAAGAAAGATATTCACCGAGATGCACATTGCAGTGGGCTGAAATATTCCAAAAAGTGATATCAGAAATCAAATTTAGAATGTTGATACGAAATAATTTTATAAAATAGACATTTTTGAAAGTACTTATCTCTAGAATATTAGAAGGATGGAATAATTCATTTACATTGTATTTAATACACAGGAGTAGTAAGTAAAACATAATATTATAGAATTGATATTCTTAACTTACATTTATAAAATATTTTTTATTTGAGAATTTCTCAAATTTCTAATAACTATGAAATTTGTATGAAATTTTTTATCTGTATTATGAATCAAAAAAACAAAATTATGAATATTAAAGATAATATCATAAAATATAAGATATAACCATAAAAAATTTAACTATTAAACAATTAATCTCACAATACGATTGACTTTTGCATATGATCATCTATTTATCCTCCACTCCATAGCTTTTTTAAAAAAGGATGATGCTTTTGCAGGATGTCTGCTTCAAAACTAACTTATCCAGATTTACCATTTCTCATTTATTATTAACAAAATCCTACTAAATACAAGTATGTCCCATTTTAATAAACGCACTTAAATATCTTAAGAATTATTAGATAAGATATTATCAAGATTTGCTACTTTTTCAGGTTGTATAATTTCGAAGGAAAAACATTTTAATTTAAAAAAATTGGTTTTCGGTGAGCGTGCAGTTAAAATAAAGTTCAACTTTATTTTTTGGCATTTCTTTTTTACATCGACGTTTTTATTATTAATTTATTTTTTTAACTCATTACCTAAGACTAAAGCAATAAAGTTAACAAAGAAGTAATTATTGAAAATAGGATTAGAATATGAAAAAAATTTTGAAATAAAAATCCATTTTACAACACGTTATAAATAATTTATTAAATATTACTAAAAATTATTAAATATTGATTGTAGAAACTATAATATCAATCAATTTCAATCAAAAATTAAAAAAGATACACGTATAACTTTTTTTTTTAGTGTGTTGCAGTTCTCCGATTAATTATACAAAAAAAAATTAAACAAAATCACAAGTTCTCTTAGAACGTTCCAGTTTACTGTTCCAGCTTATAGCTAGACCATAATAAAATTAACAAAAAAAACAACAAATGAAAAGTTATACGCGTTTCTTTTGTAATTTTTCTCACAAAATTAATTTGCATAATCAATTCCCTCTACAGACAACATTTAATAATTTGTTTGTAATAATTTGTTACAAAAATAATATTTATAATGTTTTTAATGTTTTATAATGTTTTTTATCATATTTAAGATCAACGACTTTAAACATTTTTTTATTGGCATTTTCATATCAATATAAAAAGATTAAATTGTAAGTTTTATAATTTTGGCACAACTTTATAATTTTGATGGGTTTACAGCTCACTATGGAGTGTATTAAATGAATTTATAACAAAGTACTTACCTTTGTTCAAATGCAGCATGTATTGTTTGCAGATATAGCATGTTCTAATGTGTTACCTGATGTTTTCTAATGCGTATTGTATCTTATATAAGTTTAATCATATATAGAGTAAGGCAGGCCTGTTCCGTCAGTTCAACTTTGAAGTAATACAAAAATTTACGGTAGCACAAACAATATATATCTCTTTGCAGTGTCGTGCTTATAATGACATTACTTATAATATAATCATGATTAAATAATCAACATGTGCTGTTCAGATTGTGTTTAAAAAGTATATACGTCTTAATATTTTTGAAACTTCCAGGAGTATTTTCTATAAAGAAGCTATACATTTCATAGGTCATTTCCGAAGCCGAATCCATTATTGGAATGCCAACGTTTCATGAACATTGCAATTATATCTTTTTATTTATGTATATTTAAATTTATTTAATATTAAATAAAAGTGTTTCAAGTGACTTTTTTATTTAATTTTCCGAGAATTTTCTTGTTACAGTATTTTAAGTCCTAAATCTTGGGATATCTTATATAAAATATATATGTAAAATATACAAATTTATATTTTCAAAACGATTAAATAAGAGATTAGAAAAGAAAAGTGGAATTATAAAGTTAGTTTAAAATTAAGAAAGATATTGTGCAATCGCATTATAAAGTCATAAAAATGTAAAAAATATCTACCAAAATGGTACCTGATCATTGCAAAATTTATTTTCTCTTTGCATGTTTTAAAAAAAAATGTATCTTTCACACGATAAATATACAATAAAACAGTATATAAATTTTAGGCTCTGATATAAATATTTACTAAAAATATACGTACATATACGGATCGAATATATTGAGTCATCTAAATGGTATTGATGGTCAACACCATCTAGTGACAAAAAACCACGGATACTTTTTAGATGACCCAATATATGTGTTGTGTACACACAGAGTATGTATGCCTACGCGCGCGCGCGTGTGTGTGTGTGTGTGTGTGTGTGGGTGTGTGCGTGCGTGCGTGCGTGCGCGCATGCATACATACACATATATATATATATATATACACACATACATTCATGTTTATATTTACACATGCACACATAAACAAACCCGTAAAAATGAAAGATTTAGCATATAACTACTCAGTTGACTACATATATTTGGACATTGTATAATAATATTTATATACATACAGTGTTAAAATATAAAATTCTTTAAAAATGTGCTAATTCTGAGTTTTACATATACACAAGCAGTTGTAATGTGTATAATTGTCTAAATAAATATTTCGCAAAGAAATACTCCATTATATACAATAAAATAAATTCAATCGCTTTGTGTCCATTTATAAAAACTTTTATATCAAATTTCTTCTTATATAAACTTCATTTTTCTGAGCATCGTTTTTCTTTCTTCAGTATATCAAATATATAATTATTAAACAAAAAATTTATTGCATCTGTTTATAAATCATTTATTCGATCACCTTAAATCTAGAATACCAAAAACGCGCAAACAAAATAGAATATACACATTAAAGCTCGTTAAATTAGAATTGTATATATATAATAACATATTAGATTTTATCTGTACGGTATTAAAATATGTATCTTTTAAAACATCTTTGATTTGAAAATATTAAAATGATTGCTATAAAAATGCAACACAAAAAATTGATTTAAAAATATTTCCGTTTAAATGTATA